GACTTTATTCAACAATTAGTCTCCTCTGCATCACCCTGGCGCCATTTTGGAGAATATCCGCTGGACTAAACAACGGATACGCTGTTTCCATTCAGATCAAATCACAACAACGTAGGAAGCAGATCTGGCGTGACGCAGCTGACATAGAACAGCATACGTTGTTTAGTCCAGCTGATACTCTCCAAAATGGTGCTACAGGGTGATGCGGAGGAGACGAATTGTTGAATAAAGTCGTTTTTTCTTTTCTTTTGCGCACAAAAAGTATTCTCGTAGATTCGTATAATTGAGGTTGAACCACTGATGTCACATGGATTATTTTACCGATCTCCTTGCTACATTTCTGGACTTGGGAACATTTCGGTTGCGTTGCTATCTATGCAGGGTCAGACAGCTCTCAGATTCCATCAAAAATATCTTAATTTTTGTTCCGAAGATGAACGAAGGTCTTATGGGTTTGGAACGACATGAGGGTGAGTAATTATTGACAGAATTTTCCTTTTTGGGTGAACTATCCCTTTAACACCATTATTTGTATGTTTATTACTGTGAAGATGATTTGATACAATTGGCAATTGGTATTGTATTATAAAGCTACATATAAACAAATGTGCCTTGACTTGTCAGCTGGTCAGGTTGGGAGACCAGCTAAACCATCGTAAACCAGCTAAAGCCGGTGAACCACATTAGGCTGGCTTATGCTATTCTTTTAGCAGGGCTGTGAAAAAGAGTAATTGAAATGTGCATCTAATGCTGTTTTCCATCGATTTGTGGCAGGTCTTGCACATCATAGAGCGCATTTCATAGCAGTAATTTAATGTCAATGTAAATGATAATCTAACAGCACTGTACTAATAACGTCCCACTGAGACAGCAGTCAACAGAGAGAGAGTGTGTGTGTGTGTGTGTGTATGCGTGTACTGGTTTATATATCCTGGTGAGGACTTAAACCTGACTACACACAGACTCATGGGGACTCGTGTCACGGTGGGGACCTAAATTGTGGTCCCCACGAGTACAAAAGCTTATAAATCATAGAGAATTACGTTTTTTGAAAATCTAAAAATGCAGAAAGTTTCCTGTGAGGGGTAGGGTTGGTGTAGGGCAATAGAATATACGGTCTGTACAGTAGAAAAACCATTACGCCTATGGAGAGTCCCCACAAGGATAGCTGACCAGACATGTGTGTGTGTGTGTGTGCGAGCGCGTTTGTGAGTGTGACAGGCCTCCTACGCTGATTCATCCTCCCTCTCGCACCCTCCTATGGGCATAAACCATTATTCATTTGCACAGTGTGTGCGTGAGCATGTGTGTGCCTCTGAGCGTGACAGAAAGAGGGAATATTTTAAGCAGAAGAAGGGAGGGGGACGCATACTCACAGAGGAGTGTGTAGCTTTAAATGGGTTTTCAAGTTCAATTAACATGACATTTTTAATGAATAAGAGGACTAAGTTTTCTTTCACTAATAAATGAAATAATCACAGAAAACCTGGGCAAGAATATGTCTGTTTAAAATGCATATGAAATGTATTACATCCCTCTAGCGTTGCTCTCAAATAAAATTAGAGCTTCAGTCAAGTGAGATGACCTGCCTAAGACTAAAGAGAAATCCAGGAATATGAGCTCTTTTACTATTACAAATATTATTCTAAGCTTATTTAAAATACAGGAATATATATTGTTCATACTGTATAATGCAATTTAGATTTGGCTTTGATCCCGCTAAGAAAGAGCAACTAAAAATGAGATTGCTTTAGTATCTCATTTGTTTCTCCAAGACAATGAGGTTAAATGCAAAATTAGACTTTTGGTTAATTTTTATCCTGAAAAAACACCCTATTAATCTCACATGCTCCTTCTAGAATTTTAGAAGAGATCTCAATATGAACTCAAACATTTCTCATCAAATTCTTCCACAACCAAATTATCTGATATGCTTTCTACATGCATTTTATAGCTCTACACTCTTAAAAATAAAAGTTCCAAAAAGGTTTATTTTGTAGCTATGAAATAGAAGAACCATTTTTGGTTCACCAAAGAACCTTTCAGTGAACAGTTCTTAAAAGAACCATTATTTTCTTATTGTAAACAAAATTTGAAAAATCTGAAGAACCGTTTTCTGCTATAAAGAACCTTTTGCGCATTGGAAAGTTTCCATGGATGTTCCTCATGGAACCATCAATGCCAATAAAGGACCTTTATTTATTTATTTACAATTTATTTATTTCTGTCTAGAACTATTTTGCAATTTGCTGAAACTGGCCTTTTTTAAAAATTATTATTACAAGAATCCATGCTAAACCACATATACTTTCCTAAAGCATAATGTCCTAATTTCTCTTGGTGCATTCATTTGTATGAGATTATGTTTGTGAATTTGGAAAAAAATTATGCATTCTTCCTCAAATAAAGCACTCAAATGCCAAACAAAGAAATACTGAACCTTTAGTGGGCTCATGATTTCTTTAAACGCATAAATTAGCACGTAACGTAAGGTTCACATTTTGCTGTGAATGAGAAACCTCACACCAAATGTTTCAGTTCACATAGTGAAGAAGACGCGCACTGGGAGCTCTTAGTATGCATCATCTGCGCGCAAAGCGGGGCTGCCCTACTTCTGAGAGCACACACTAAAATACGAGATGGTACACAAGTGGGAGTGACCACGGTACATCTAGTATCCTTTTTATTGTCATGAAGCAGAAAAGCACAATGCATGAGAAATAGAACAAGAGAGAGATCTGTCAACATCAGATGGGTCTGAATGATATCTGACAGCATGCATTGATGGAAATCAGTTGCAATCATACTGAGCGTGGTTCAATATAATGTGGGACACAAATAGCCTTGTGTTCATGCAACAGAACAAATTTGATGCTTATATTTTAAGTAAACAATAACGTGTCTATTATAAATCTAAATAAATGCTAACTAGGTGCACAGGGTGAGCCAGCACAAAAATGCAATGCATCAATGTAGTACATGAGAAATAGACCATGTTATTCGAAAAAGACTGACAGTGGTAGGTTTGAATGGCATCTGACAGCATGTACTGATGGAAATCAGTTGCAATAGTACTGACTGTGCTTAAAAACAGTGTGAGGGAGGGAAATGAGAGGATGAGAATACACAGTGTACATGATGAACAGATCTATGTGCAACAGAAATTAGATTTTTATATTTTCAGTAAACATTGAACATTTTCTTTCATACCCTAAAATTGAGAGGTAGATTAGATTGACATCTAACAGCATGTAATGATGAAAATCTGTTGAACTCATGTCCAGTGTGCTTTAATATTGCATAAGGGAGCCCAATGAGTTAAAATATAAGAACAGGGGTATACACAGTGTGTAAAGAACAAACGTGCATGCAATCTTATATTTATAAAGTCATAAATACCAATGTGTAAACTTGTTTTTTTTAATCACATATCTTATTTTATAAGAATGGTTAAGCAGGTGCGCAAACGCAAAACTACAATGCATTAGTGCATTGCATGAAAAACAGACTATGTTACTCTTAAAAAGACTGGTTTGAATTCCATCAATGCATGCTGTCAGATGTCAATCGCTTGTAATCGTGCTGGCCGTGGTATAGGAGAGACCAGAATGAGTGCAAAATAAGACCACGCTCTGTGCGTAAAGAATAAATAAATGCGCAACAGAAGAAAATTGATGTTTAGAAGTAAGCAGCCGTGAACAATAAGGAGGCAACATATTTTTAGCTCGTAATGCATAATATAACAGTTGACTCATGTGGCCAAAGCCCTCATCAGCCATTCAAAAGCATCGTTACCTTTGTGCATGCCTGTGTAACGGTCCTTGAGGACAGTCAGTTCGTGGATCTTTCCAAACTGTTCGAAAAGAGGTTTGAGGTCCTTCTCCTCCAGGTTGCGCGGGATCTGTCCTATAAAGAGCTTGATGGCATCCTGGTCTTTCATGGTGCCGTTGTCGGGGTGGATGGAGATGGGCTCTGAGCCGTTCATGGGCTTGGGGAATGTGATGTGCGCGTACTGGGGCTGGTGCGGGATCAGGAGCAGTGGTGCCGCTGCCTGGCTCGGTACCGCCCCCGGTCCAGAGAGGAGCAGGCTGGCGTGGGCAGGCTGAGGATGCTGCTGAAGATGCTGCTGCCTCCTCGCTTCAGTCTGGGTGAATCTAGCCATTCTGCGCGCGGCGGAGAGCGCGATAATAATAACAACATACACACGCACGCACACGCGCAGCGAGAGAGTACGCGCTCAGCTGGAAACGCGACGCTCACATTCTATTCGACACATGTCACGCTCGCGCCCCCCGCACCTGACTGGAGGAGGAGATGAGAGCTGTGCGCGGTCACGACTCAAATGCGTGGGCCCGCAGCGCCACCTGCCGACCAATAGCCAACTGCGCTACTACACAGTCAGATTTTCTTGTAACAGTATTTTCTTGTAAAATGTACTCCAACAATCTTTGTTATTGTTACCATTTGAAAAATCACTTGTGTGTCCAAAATACCAAACAAAATAGTAAATAAAACACATCAACTGGTCACTGGGGTTCCTCAGGGAACAGTTCTTGGACCCCTCCTCTTCTCTATTTACACTACATCACTGGGACATGGTTCCTCCTACCATTGCTATGCTGATGAAACACAGCTGTATCTTTCATTTCAACCAGACAATCCAATAGTAGCTGCATGGATCCCAGGCAGCCTGGTGGACATCTTGGGCATGGATGATTCAACATGGCAAAGACTGAGCTTCTCGTCTTCCCTGCCACTCCGACTCTACAGCTTGATTTCACATTCCCGCTAGGTTCATCAACAATTGCCCCATCATGTTTGGTCAGGAATCTGGACTTGCTGCAATCTTTAATGACCAGCTGACTTTCAAAGACCACGTTACAAAAAACGCTCGATCATGCAGGTTTGCATTGCACAACATCAGAAAGATCAGTCCCTCCCTCTTGTCCTTGCCCTTGTCATTTCTAGGCCATTTCTCCCTCCTACTTCCACTCGCTCTTACAAGTCTAAATCCCCTACAGAACCCTGAGATCTACAAGTGAGCGAAGCCTCGTTTTACCATCACAGAGATGCACAAAATCCAGAACATTTTTGTTTTAGCAATGTGGTCTGAGAAATTCAGCTTATCATCAATCACAACTCCAAGGATTCTAGCTGTTTTTGAAGGAGTTATGGTTGATGAGCCTAACTGGATGGTGAAATTTTGATAAAGTGATGGGTTTGTTGAAACCACAAGCAGTTCTGTCTTGGCCAGGTTGAGTTGAAGGTGATGGTTCGTCATCCAACAAGAAATGTCTGTTAGACATGCTGATATGCGAGCAGCTATCGTCGGATCATCAGGATGGAATGAGAGGTAGAATTGAGTGTCATCAGCATAGCAGTGATATGAAAAGCCATGTTTCTGAATGACAGAACCTAGTGATGCCATGTAGACAAAGAGAAGTGGTTCAAGAACTGAGCCCTGAGGCACCCCAGTAGCTAGATGTTGCGACTTGGACACCTCACCTCTCCAAGATACCTTGAAGGACCATATATATATATATCTTTGCTTTCTCTTTCCTTGATCCCCTGTCTGGCTTGTACTAATCTGAAAAATATCTCAAACTTTTTATTATGAGCACTTCCTGGGTTTATTTGCCTCTATGATGAATTGCTTGTTGTATTCCTCAGCTGTAAGTTGCATTGGATAAAAGCGTCTGCTAAATGAATAAATGTAAAAAAAAATCGAATAAATTACAAATTGACAAAACAACTTGAACAGCACTGACATCTCTTATGAAATCATTAAATTTTTCTATGTATGTTTAGCAGGGTAAATTAGCCTGAATAGGCCTAAGTCGATTGGGGGTAAGTTGACATTTTTTTAAACAACGTCCTCTTTAAAATGATCTTAATATAATTTTGCATATGACAGAGTCAAGTCAAGTCAAGTCACCTTTATTTATATAGCGCTTTTAACAATACAGATTGTGACAAAGCAACTGAACAGTATTAATTAGGAAAATAGTGTCAATAATGCAAAATGACAATAGTAAACACTCATTTTTCAGTTAAAGACAGTTCATCATTGAATTCAGTGATGTCAACATCCAGCTTAGTTCAGTTTAAATAATATCTTTGCAATCATGTCAACGATAACGCTGGAAATGAAGTGTCCCCAACTAAGCAAGCCAGAGGCGACAGCGGCAAGGAACCAAAACTCCATCAGTGACAGAATGGAGAAAAAACCTTGGGAGAAACCAGGCTCAGTCGGGGGGCCAGTTCTCCTCTGACCAGACGAACCAGCAGTACAGAAAAATCAATATAAGACATAATAAAACAGACGATGAATAATATTAACAGCAATTATTATATGATGCAATCAAACTTATAGCAAAATGTGGTAGTTCTGTAAGTTGTTTCAGGGTTGGCATCATCTGAGGTCCTCTGAGGGGTTGGCATCATCTCTTCTCAGGTGTTCTGGATCCAGACTGAAGCTTGTGTAAATCCTAGTTACCACGGGATGTTAATCCCGTGGCAAAAGACAGAGAAACAAATACAAACATAATTAGCGTAGCTGCTGTTCCAACCAAGCAAAAATGATTTGTTTAACCCAAACTAACGAATAATAATGTGCATTTGATTAGATATAACTGCAGTAAAAGATTATGACTGCAGTAAAAGATTATGAGATGCATTATTTGAATGCTTGGCCAAAGAGATGTGTCTTTAATCTAGAGTGACAACATCTCTTTGGAACAAGGCTCTTGTGAATCTATTATGAGGATGGAAAGGAAAACAAATTTCACTTAGGTACAATAGCTGATCCTCCACCTGCATGTGAATGAACTGACATAATCGTGGATGTGCACAGCAGAACTACACGTAGTACACACGTTCTTGACGTCACATGGACGTCTAGCAACACGGTTAAAGCTAGAAGGAATAAAAAAATCTGGCTTCTGCCCAATCGATATCTCTTAACAAATAAGGTGAAAGAAGTATTCTTTAAGCTTCTCCACAGAATATACCCTGCTAAACATTATTTAATTAAATTTAAAAATATATATAATGTTATCTGTAGCTTTTGCAAGCAGAAGCCAGAGACAGCTGTTCATTTATTTTGGCACTGCCCTTATGTGTCTTTTTTCTGGCGGAATGTACTTGACTTTTTTTTTTGGAAATATTGATGGAGATTTTATTTTACAGTGGAAAGATGTTCTTTTAGGTATTATTGTAAACTCCCAAAATAAACAGACCTGCACGTATTTTTTTCATTTGTATTTTAATGGTTAAATTTCATATCAATAAATGTACATTTTCAGGTAAAAAAAACATGTTTTATAGCATTTAAAAATGAAGTGAAATATTATATTGAATCTATATTACCCTCGAAGAAACAAAAAGCTATTTGCTTAAGGCTAGAAGGGATACGTATGGCGCTACTGAAATAAAACATTATATATGTTAAGTAAAAGTCAATCAGATGAATGTATGGAATGTAAAATCCCAGAAAACACAGAACATATACTGTTATACTGCAATATAAGGAAGAGAGGAATAGTCTAAGACAGAAGATTAATCAGGCTGGAAGAAAATGGAACCTCGAGGTTATATTTGAGGAAAACAGAAGAAGGGGTAAAGGATGCACAGAAAGCGGTTGTGGAATATCTAAAAGATATAGGGATATATTATAGGATTTAGTTTTATTGTATTTATTTAGTATGGGTATGGATGTGTGTGTGTGTGTGTGTGTGTATATATATATATATATATATATATATATATATATATATATATATATATATATATATATATATATATATGTGTGTGTGTATATTAAATATATGTATTTAATAATTAATAATAATTTACATTTACATTTAGTCATTTAGCAGACTAAACAGAATAATAATAAAATATATATGCATGTGTATGTATATAGATTTTTTTTTTTAGATTACGTAAAGCTATATAATAATCTATGCTGCAAACTCCGGTACAGTAGGTGGCGGTATGCACCTGACAAGTTATGATTGCAATCCGCCATTAAACTAAAAGAAGTCTGGCGCTACTGGGCATGCGCACATCAATACAGCGTAATTTTTGTCACGCTGTAAAACAATAATTACTATTTTTTTCATTATTGTAAGGGGTAGGTTTAGGGTTGGGGTAGGTGTAGACGTTGATAAAACACAATCTAATAGGTAGAAAATTAATTTCATTGTTCGTTTCCGGTCGGAGCTGTATCCCTTCTAGCCACAACCCCAGCAACACACAAAACCGATTGAACGGAAGATCAGAAACTCTTGCTTAGATTTACTAACTTGAACTTACCCTTTAGCCAGAAAGTGAGTCATGTCGGTGAATTACGCCGCGGGACTCTCTCCATATGCGGATAAAGGCATCTGCGGCCTCCCGGAGGTGATGTTTACATTTGTTGCCGTTAGCCGGCTAAGTTACGTTAGCTAGAATTAGCTTCATTTAGTGCACATTGGCGTCATATTTAATACATTCTTTACGAAATGTACTGTTATTCTCTATGTAAAGCTATTTCAGTCTCTGTAGACATACGTGTGTAAAGAATAAGACAACTGTATGGTTCATTTCGCTACCAAATAAACCTGAACAAAAACATTGATTAGGCAGTTGCTGAATGAATATGCTAATTATAAAAACATGAAGTTTTATTTGATTTTACCACAGTGAAGGAGGAAACCATATGATAAAAGTCACCCACGGTTAATTAATAATTTAATATTTATTTTTTAATAAGAATCGCATTTTTCCCGTCAGGTAAGAGTTCACTAGCACAGCTAGAGAACGTTGTTCTCAACGGCTGTTCATGGTTGCCAAGCAACGCCATTAATTTTAAGCCAAATGAGCTAACACAATAATATATGGTTACGGCACTGATCTATAATAGAAAAAAAATCGATTCTTAGTTATATGTAAATTATAGGGATGCACCGATATGAAAATTTTGGCCGATACCGATAACCGATTATTCTTTATTTTTGAAAGCCGATAACCGATATGTTAGCCGATAAATCTATATCCAAATTGTTATATACTTTTTGAGAGCCTGATTACAAAAAAGGTCTCATCATTAAAGGCCACATCCCAAACACTTCAACATAAGCAGCCTAGTTTGAACGGTGTACGTTTTAAAAATATGTTTACATTACCAAATTTAGTCATAAAAAAGTCTTACAAATAAATAAAATAATGCATAAATAATGCAAACAAGTCACTGGACATCATTACACGTGTAAAGAATCAAAATGAATGCGCCATAGATCAATAAAACGGAATAGCCTCTGCACGGACAATAATTAAATGATTTTAATTACTAAACCATATTGTTGATGAAAATAATAAGAGAAAAATACAAGTGGCTGTTGTTATTAATAATATATCAATGATTTTGAAAAAGTAACAAATTAATACCACTGTTTTAAATAGCAGCCGTTGAGCTGCACGTGCTGAAGCTGAAGAGCTGAATGAACACGGTAAACTGAAGCGTTTTGCTGGCAGCTTATTTAACTCAAGGAAATGCATCCTGAGATTAATATTAATACAACATAAACATAATATTACAACTTATATATGTACAAAATGACGCAGTTATTGCATGCTATAGTCAGAATGTGTGATCCTGTTGTGGATGCGCTCTTCCCATAACAACGCGCTGAAACACAGCAACTAAACCCAAAGAATGCACAACGTTTTATTATAATAATGTTCTCATTAGAATGTTATATACACAACATTCCCAATCATAGTTATTAATGTTGTGCACTGCTGTTTGAGCTGCGTGCGCTGAGCTAAAGACGATCACCGGTAAACTGAAGCGCTCTTTTAACTTAACCAAACGCATTCTATATGAGATAAATCAGATATACATCAAATAAACACAATATTACAACGTACAATTGCACAAAAGGCTGCAAACGAACAGCGCACATCTGAAGTGTCTCTGAAGGAAATAATGCATTATTTATCGGCTTTAAGATATCGGCCAAATTTTCTTATCAGGCCGATACCGATAACAGAAAAAATGAGCCGATATGGGCCGATACCGATATGGTGGCCGATATATCGTGCATCCCTAGTAAATTATATATTTGTATGCATAATATGTGCTTTATACATAGTACACTATGTCAGATAGATAGATAGATGATATTGAATGCTGAATTTAAATTTAAACATTAAAATTTTCTGCACAGAATAAGGTAAAAAAAATACTTTGTAGTTTCTGTAGGCTACTGTAATAAATTATATGTCAATTAGCACTGCATCATTCATAAATTGTATTTATTTATTGTGTTTATTGTCTTAACGTTTCAGTTCATTCTGTATTACGTATAGAAAGATCATAATATATTAAAATAATATAACAAAAAAGTAATTTGAAATAGTTAATGTACATTTTTTTATGTGACCACTTAGTAGTGTGACAGCTTTTGGGCTGTTTGCAGTGCAGCTCATGAGTCTGAATGTGTGTGTACAGGTTTATATATCCTGGTGGGGACTTAAACCTGAATACACACAGTCCCATGGGGACTCATGTCTCGGTGGGGACCTAAATTGAGGTCCCCATGGGTACAAAAGCTGATCAATCATACAGAATGAGTTTTTTTGAGAAAGTAAAAATGCAGAAAGTTTCCTGTGACGGGAAGGTTTAGGTGTAGGGTGATAGAAAATACGGTTTGTACAGTATATAAACCATTACGCCTATGGAGAGTCCATACAAGGATAGCTGACCAGACTGTGTGTGTGTGTGTGTGTGCAGGAGTTTGACAGCCCAGAGGAGCTGAAGACTAAAGTGGAGATATGTATGTCCATGTAGTTTAATTCAATTTTAGTTGATTTAGTTTGTTATTTTAATACTTAAACATAAACGAAAATGAGAAATGTTGCTTCGGCGTCTAGCTGATTTAAAATAAGGTTTAGTTTTATTTCACTTACTGTTTATTTTATTTCGAGTAATGGAAATCATGGTTTAAATAATGAAAATAATGGTTTTATTTAACAATAATAATAAATTTGTTATTTTTTATGTTTAAAGCTGCAGTCCATAATTTTTTTGGGGTAAAAATTATCCAAAATCAATATTTGAGCAAGTACATAACCAGCCAGTGTTCAAAACTACCGCCTTATTTTAGCCCGATTCACAACGGTTAGCTTATAATAATGTTTGGTACGGGTAGGTTTTTGCGGGAAATTCAAACATGGCACTGCATCATTAAGTCACTTCTGTAAACATAAAGAAGTTGTCCCGACTACTAGGCTATCGCATGTGAGGATCCTGCAGGTGGCGGATCGTTTATAACCTTTTCTCACAGCAGCCAGAATAATTAAATGTATCATTTTGATGGCGGATTGTATTTCATAAAGGATTATGTGTTTATAGAAACACATATGAATGATATTAAATTATATTCCAGTTATAAATGTGCTTCTGATTACAGATAGCCTGGGATTACACAAGATTTGTATTTTAAAGACAACCAGTTCGAAGGGAGCATAATTTGCTTTTTGGGTTAAAAGAATTTCTTAATATGAAATTCGAAGAGTATGACAATTAGATTAGACTGTGCAGAAATTAAAATCTGCACTCTAACACACACGATACCCATATGCACCAACACTTACTTTTTTAACATTAATAATTGGATAATAAATTATAACTATAATAATAATAATTTGAATGGTTTGATGTGATATGAGCTAACCGATCTTTAGATTTAATTACCATTGGTAGCGAGATTTATGGTAATGCTTTTTTCCTCAGTTGGTCAGAACAAACGTGGCAGACTTGTTACTTGTTCAGACGGCAATATACTGTGAAAATTCTTATTTGGGTCATATTCCAAGGCGTAGAATAGAATCTGTGATTGCGAAGTACAGTAAAGTACATTAAATGTCCACACCGGTGCAGTGACTGACTGCCACACATACTCTTCAGAACATTATTCATCCGTGCTGGAGCCATGCAGACGCGCAACCCATGCAAGCTAGATAATTCCGCACACAGCTGCAATTCCAGGTTTTCAAACAGAGATGGCGACAAAGAGGCAAAACTTACGGACTGCAGCTTTAATATTATTTCAGTTAGTGTTATTTCAGTTAATTATTTTATTACTAGTAAAGGATTTTTATGGTTTTAGTTAATAATAATAACCCTGGCACGGATGCATTAAACCGGTATTAATTTTTTCAAAAGTCTAAAAAAAAGCATACATTTTCATGGGATCAGGAAGCTAGTATAGATTACTCTTGCTGTTCACCTGTGTTCTGGTAGATGGTGCTCCAAACTGCTATTTTGAAAGCATGAAAGGATGATTACTCAATCACTAAATTGGACAGAAAAGCACCATAAAAGTAGTCAGTGTCACTTTTCTTGCTTTACATACAAGTCATCTGAAGGCATACAATAGCTGTGTGAAATGTTCAATGATTCACTGAAAATCGTGACTTCTTTGTTAGCTCTCATTTCTTTGTTACAAGTCTCTTTTATGTTCACAATACACGTAATAACTTCAGAGAATTGCACTTTTTTTCATATAGTCTTCATGTGAACTGACATTAAATGTGTTCACTGTCCTTTTAAAGTCAGGACAAAGAGTTAATATTTATAGATATTTTCTATGTAATGCCATCAACAAAGCTATACATTTTCTTAAAACCAATGGCCAGAGATGCATTCATGTTTTCCACCCACATTCCTAATCTTCTGGCAGCCCAGTAGAAGGAAGCAGGGATAATCCTGTGGATTTAATCCTCCGGAAATAACCAAAACCATGCTTTTCAAACCAGAAATAGAGCTTTTGTTTGCTTCCATATTTGTTTGCGTGTCTGCTTTGTTTGTTTGTTTAATGTACAGACATAATCCACTTGTGTATTAGTCAATAACTGATTGGACTGAAGTCCCTGAACTCCCATATTAATATGGCCTCTAAGGAGATTAAATTAGGATTGGTTAAGAAAGGCTGACATGTCAGTGCAGACTCGCAGTAACTACAGAGAGCCATCACTAGAGGGAGATATGCAGTTTTAGTACAAATAACAGCTGAAAATATCCTTCAAGGCTCTTTTTGGAGTATCTGCATACTGCCCACAGTTGCTTTAAAAAAATTTTTTTTAAGTTTTACCGTTTTTAAGAATGTGTAACAGTAATATGCAACAATACATTTTCAAACTTCACATTTTGTCAAATATAGTCATCCCAGTGTTCCATGCATAGAAAATACTGCATACTAAACTTTTTTTTTTTAAATCTTGTTGCCAACATTTCTCATTTTCATTTAGTTTACTGAAAGTAACATAAAAATTAAAGCTATACATTTATTTACTTAGAATAAATTTAGAATGTATTTACTTGTAATTAATCTAAATAAAAACTGCATACATATTAAAAAAATAATAAAAATGGCTAAAACAATTACTAAACTTTATAATCAAAATGAAAGCATAATACAAAAAA